ATTTTTGTATACTTGTGCCATGTATACTTGTCTTGTGCGTATGTGTTTAGCTTAGTATACTTGTGTTTGTATACTTAATTTATGAGTACTCTATACATATATCTTATACTTTTGTATGTATGCTAGATATTGCTTATCCCGTTTAACATGATTTAGTATACTTGTGAGCATGTGTACTTGAATGTCGTGTATCATGTTTTAATACGGTTTGGTGTACTTGAGCATGTATACTTGTATGCCGTAGTTTATCTCAATTAAATGAGTAGCTTAGGATGATCCATGAGTCTCACTTTAACATAGACGTTAGGTGGCATGAGCCCCTCTAACATGTTTCACCTTTAGGTGATAGAATTGTAAAATGCTAGGTCGATGCATGCTCATTTCCTACGAGTAGCTTTATGTTACTCACCCACGTAGTGAGGACATTTTTCAGGTACCGGGATCAAGATTCGGGATTCACATCATGCTTGGATGATTTGTAGACTTGAAGTTCTTATTTCTTGTAAATGTTGGCTTGAAATGCCATTTATAGCTTTATATGTCAAAATGTGTAAATTTGATTCTATTTTTGTAATGTGTACATAAGTACACTCTTTACAATGTATTTGACATGTATGAGATGAGGCCGGAAGCCAATGACATGTATCTTGTTTTCTATGCACTTTCGTTTTCAAGGCTTAATATGAAAATGTTGAAAAATACTTAGACATTGTGTCATAACTTTTGCATTGGGTGTGGGAATTTCATTTTATTCTTTCGTAGGGCCTCATTAATCATGTATGAAGTGTGGCCAAAGGCCAAACGGTAATTTGAAATCATTTGTTAATTTTGGTTTTCAAATTTCCCAATTCTTGTGCATTTTCGCCATTTTGGCCATTGGGGGGTCGGATTTTGCATCGGTTCTTCTCGGGAGCTGCGGACCATTCCTGCGTGCTTAAAAATACTAAATACACTTGTGTGCACATTCGTTTCAACCTAGAAATGCATTTAGGGCCAAATGCATACTTGGTGCAAAGTTGCATTTCTTTGAGTTTTTGACCCCTTACTGAGCTAGGGGCATTTTGGGCATTTTACAATGAGTTTTTTCTGAATTCTCTCACGTGCCATCTAGAAAACTCAATTTTGAAGGGGTTTCTTCTTTGTGTTTTTCCAGAAAAATTCATCTACTAGCCCATTTTTACTCTCTGTTCTGGCTGTTTCTGGAAAAAAATGCTTGTAGCAGCTTTTTGAGCAGCTTTTTGGGTCCCTCTTGACCTACTTTGTTCTAGGGGCATTTTAGGGATTTTACAGCGTGTTTTTTTTCCGTTTCTTCCACATAGCCGGGTAGGAAACATGATTTTAAGGGGGGTTTCTTCTTCGTGTTTTTGTAAAAAAATTTGTTTAAGGGTCCGTTTCTAGCCTCAGTTATGGAAAAAAAAATTGAAAAGTTGCTTTATGTCAAAACACTATTCCTGCCCAGATTTTCGTACCCGGAAAAGTTGGTTTTTTTTTATAACTTTGAGGCTTCATATTTCCTTCGTCCCGACTCCAAATCAAGTGATTTTTGAGTCTAAGTTTATTAAATTTTGGTTGTCTATCCAAAGGTATGAATGATTGCATCCAATTCTATCTGAAAGACTATTTTACCCCTTGCAAAGTACCCTTGCCACATTGATTTGAACCCAAAAGTCTATTTTTTTGAAACTTTGAGGCTTCATATCTTCTTTGCCCGGACTTTGAATCAAGTGATTCTTAAGTCTAGATTTATTAACGTTTCCTTGTATATCTAATGGTATGCTCAGTTGCATCTAGTTTTGTCTTAAAAGACCATTTTACCCCTTGTAAAGTACCCTTGCCGCATTGATTTCAAATCCAATAGTTTAATTTTATAAAACTTTGGAGTTTCATATCTTCTTCATCCAGACTCCGAATCAAGTGATTCTTGAGTCCATCTTGATTAGTTTTTCGTTATCCTTCCAGCGGTATGCTCGGTGGCACCCTAGTCCATAGTTTTTTGAAATGACTATTTTGCCCCTGGGGGCTTATTTGTCATATTTTTGGTCTTTTGCTTCCGCATCAGTTCTCATTGAGTTCCACGACCTCATGGAAGGTCACTTTGACTTCTTAGAGTCTTGTTTTCTGTTTTCGCTTCTGCATTTCGGATTCGTTATCGGATCAAATTACGGTTCATCACAGGACGCACTGGCTTGAAAAACCAGGGCAGTCACAAGGCAGCTGCATCATCATCTTTTTCTTGACCAGGGGCCTGGCGATCTCCAGTAACATACGACCACAACTTGAAGCCCTTGAGAAAGCTACGCCATGGATTGACTCCAAAAGGAGTAGTTGTCTCCATAAAAAACATCATGAATAAGGTGAGTGACCTTATTATGTATTATTTGGGCCATTTAGAAATTACAAATGCAAAAAATGGACTCAAAATTTGAAATCAATGAGAAAAACTATGTGGGATACGCCCTTTCAAAAAATTTCTAGCGGGTTCTGACTTGGCAAGGAAATGAAATCCAAATGATGATGTGGTAATATAATGACATGGTAGAACACGGCTAACCACTGCTGACATGGCTCTACTAATGTGGTAGATTGTTGACATGGTTGTTACCGTGTCGGATAACTGGCTTGCGTGATGACATGGCAGGTTCGAAATGGATTGTAGAGTAACTGGCACGTGAGCACGTGTGAAGTTGAAGATCTGAGCATGAAGGCGCGTGGTAGAATGGAATGAGAAACATAATGTGATACCCCTCGATTCCGGAACACGGGTGGATCAGGTCCGCGACCGACATCGAGGGAGTATAAGGCAATTAAGGTAATAAACAAACATGGATTACAAAAGATAAATAAAGAATAATTAAATAAGTTGAAAGAAAACCAAAATAATAATTAAATAAATCCCAATAAAATAATCCTCCAAATACTCTGATACCAATAATCCTCTAGATTACAACTCGGGAATCCATGATGTGGACCCCTAATAAAATCCCAACTAGAAGCAATAATCAAACAAATATCTAAACTGAAAATTGAAAACATAAAATAGAATCCTGTGTAAAATCGGAAGAGTGATGAAGACTGGTCTGTGCGCTGCACAAACAATCTCTATACCTGACGAACACCTGAAAAATACAGCGGGTCAGGCCCACGAACAAGTTCTACTCTACTACATCCCAAATAGAGATCCGATACACATATACATCCTAGTCAACTCATACAATAACTACATAGTCCGTATATATATAGATACATACTAAAGGACTCTCATTAGACTATAGGGCGATCTCAACCTAGATAGTAGGCAATATGCAAAACACACACATAGTGGGCATGTGTACCATGATCTATCAGGGCACACAACTATGCACTATATCCAGCTATGCATCCCAAGCAATATACACACCCTAAACACTGATCATGAGAACTCAAGCTCATATCGTGGCAGATATCAATAAATATATATAAATCTATATCCTATCCAAAACATAAACTAAACTATCCGCTATAATCTTTCAATGGCATGTCATTCACATTGTTCTGTGACCTGACACGAATAGATGAGACTTAACTTATTAGTCAGTCCATCTAATAATATGCCCCCATATCCTAACAATTGTGCATTCATCCATAACATAACCAAACAATGATTTCCAATCCACACAATGATGCAAGCATGTATATACATCAAATAATCTAGCAATAAACATGATATAAATCCTATAGATATCCATTGTATTTATTTAAGCAATATTAACAATTCAAATAACATGCGGTTAACTTACATGACATGTAATTAACGTATATCTCAATTAAATTATATAAACTTGATCCATAAATATGATTAAAATCATTTATGCAATTATTTCAATTCTTAAAACAATTTAAATCCATAAAATCATCAATTAAGCAACTTAGAAGTTATTTAAAATTCCAGGCTAAGTTTCTTGACAATGTTATCTTTGTATAGACATGTTTGTTTTTGTCCAAGTGTATTAATATTCTGGGTCAGAATTAATCTGTTTGCTGGTTCTTGTCTCTCTCGTGCTTTCTCATGCTATTATTATTCAGGATGCAAGTCAATATCAATTTGTAATAGAAATTTCAGGAGAGTTTCATGCAATTTGTCCATATTTTAACAATCATAATATTATTAACAATGAAACTTAATTTGCCAACACCCAATATGATCTGAAAAATTTAGACCCATATCGATATAAGTAATCATAATATTTTTAGGATTTGTAATATTTTGACTTTTTTTTTTTTTAAGTTTAGATGCTGTTATATTTTACTCTTACTATGAAAATGGTTTATTTTAGACAAAATATGTTGTATTGGGGTTTAATATTTAAAATTATGATATATTGAAATTCAATTTTAAATTTAGCAACGGATGAAGTAAAAAAAATGACCAAAAAAAATAGTAAAATGATATAAGATCTAAAAATCAAATATATCCAATTATTTTATATGAAAAAAATAATTTTAATTATTATAATAAAGTTATTCTTCACTTACATGAATGCAAGTGGATATCTCCATTGGAATAAAGTTAAATGCACTCTCGCCGGTAAACCTCCTGCAATCGAATAAAGTTAAATGGCAAAACCGACTGAATTAAATAGGTTAAATGTGATAATGGACAAAATTATGATATTCTAAAATAAGAAAATTACATTCATTACGACAAGAAACTGTTGCGACACTAACACTATCCGGCTTGAACAGAATCAGCCCAGCCCAAGAGACAGCCGTATAGGTATGAATGATTTGAATGCTAGTGAAAGAGACTACTGCATGTCACTGCCTTCCCATTATAACCACTGTGTTATGTTGGAGCTTAGAGAGTTTAAAAATCTGTATGTATATGTGAGTGGGTTTATGTGCAACTGTGTCTATATATATATATATATATATATATATATATATATATATAAAACAAAGGACTAGCTCTCAATTGTCACACAGTTATTTTGGGCGCAGAGAGCACCAAGGAAGCAGCCGCAATGGCAGAATCAGAATCATATCCGATGAATGGTGGAGATGGCACATACAGCTACGCTAAGAACTCCATCTATCAGGTACTAGATTAATTATTTACAGGTTTATTCCATCAGCTTCTTGGTCTTTTTGGTTGAATAACTTTATATTTGATCCATGAGTCCATGACCTACTATGCATATAAGTGGATCATGGCTTTTCTTTGTTCCTGTTACTCCTTGTGCTTCGCGGGTTTATCAAAGTTAATTGTGCATTCGCTTTTAGTTGATCAAATCATTAACAAATTCTAGGAGGTATGGAAATTTTTTAATTTTTTATGTCTTGATTAAGGCATAAGTTTGACATTTGATTCAGTTGGTACTTGTAATTAAGGATGGTAAGGGGCAGGTTTGGGATGCAGTTGGTTAAATACTACTCCACCACGTTGGGAAATTGTCCATATCAATTTTGCTTTTACTCCGGAACGGGTTTATAATTTGTATAATGTATCCTCATTCACAGGATCGATTCCGCTCGCTTCATCCATTTAATTTAATACAATAAATTAAATTATGATAAATAAGTGAAGGTGAGTGACTTATTAATAAAATCAGAAGTGAAATTTGAAATAATTTTTTTTTTTTTTTCACTAAATTTAAATTAAATCAATACCTGAGATGCAAAAATATAAAAAAACTCAACAAATACGCAGCTCTAACACGAAAATGAAAAAATAAGTAAATAAAAAACACACACATATATAATCAGGTTTGTTGCGGGGCGGGTTAAACACTAAATCCTCCCCGCCCCGTGCCCACCCCAAACCCGATATGGATTTTAATTTTTATCACAATTTCCGTCCTTGCTTCATTTAGGGGCCTACCTGTCCCATTCGGGGCTGAAACCTGGTGGGGCAGAGGCAATTTTGATACCCCTAGGGTTATTGGCACCAATATTTGGACAAATGACACTAAACCAAGAACACAAACCGCCCACTACACAATGCATAAAAGATTTCCGTAGTTCGAAGGTAGATTACAAGTTCTGAAGCCCCCAATTTTAAGTATTCCTTTTCCTCTATTTTTGACTTTCAATGCTCTCTCATTCTCATACCACAACCCTAGCACCCTTGTATTTACAACATATACTAGACTCCGGGTCCATCGGGGTCCTTTTCTTATTTAAAAAACATAATAATTGGATGTGCAGAAGAGGCCAAGTTGTTTTTCATGTTGTAGACCGGGATCTTAATTGACCTTGATTGTCTCATCCAGAACTTCCTTCTTCATATTGACCGGATAGAAAATTGGGATAATTTCATAAAAATGAAATTTTGTGGGTTAAAGGACAAAAGAATGGGGTCAAAATTATGTTTTTCAAATTAATGAATTTTTCTCAAAGTATGAGGTGGATATGAAAATTTACTGTACATCTTTTTATTCTCAAAATACCCTTATATTGTTGTTATGGATTTCTTTCTACCTCTGCATCTGACGCATGTGCTTGAATGCCTTGAGCCTTTTTCTTTTCTTTGGGTGAAAAACCCACTCTCTCCGGTGTAGTGGAATACTTTTAACGAGTTCTCGCACAGCATGGAGGTAACCAAAGGCCTGCAAGAGTAGAAGTCTTAATTGTCCCAGAAGCTGCTCTAGAGCAAACCCATTTAACAAAAAAAAAAAAAACAAAACAGCAAACCCATTTCATCATCAATCTCTCACACACGTAAACCAGCCCCTTCTGAATGTGTTCATCTGCAATGGCAAAACAATTCTTTCTTTTTGATTGGCCATCACTCTCTTTCACCCACCTAACTAGCAAACCCATTAAAAATAAAAATAAAAAACAGCAAATCCATTTAATCATTAGAAAAATGCAAATAACAAGAAGTTTTGGATGAATTTCTCACGTTTGTTGGTTGTTCATTTGGGAAGAAAGGTTGCCATAAATATGAGGGGCAGTAACATAATTTCATAACAACAATAGAAGGGTATTTTGGAAATAAAAATATGATCTACAGTAAATTTCCATGTCCATGTCATGTCAGATTTTAAGAAAATTCAATTAAGTTGGAAATTTTGATTTTGACTCCATTCTTTTGTCCTTTGACTCCCAAAACTCCTTTTATGGAATTATCCCTAAAAAGTTTGAGAGCTCTAGGGTTTTATTAGGGGTGGTAAAATGGGTCATCACCCATTAACCCGTCCATATCTGCTCACTTTTTAGTGATTTTGGGTGAGTTATATTTAAAATGGGTTAAAAATTGGTTGGGTAATTTTTAACTACTTAATTTGAGGGTCAAGATGGATTGAATATGGATATCCATATTCAACCTGCACACTTGTCTCTTCTGAGAGTTGAACCTTCGATGTTCCTTTGGGAGGTAAGATATTAATACCGCTAGGCCACTAACCCTTGGTAGTTCAATTAGTTTTTCATTTTGTTAACAATTAAACTAAACAAAAAAAAAAAAAAAAAAAAAGCAACCAATTTGAATCCTTTTACTGAATATTAAAATGGACATAATTATAACTAGAGAACCTCATAAGAAGTTAGGTTGAGTGTCTTGCATTTCTCATTCCTAAGTGTAATTAAATCTAATATGAATTCCGCACACAAAAAATAAAAAATAAAAAATCGAGTGTGTGAACCCATTTATCGGTTCACAAATATAAAACAAACTAAAAAAAAAAAAAAAAAAAAGGTTTTGAAGCCCTCAAACAGCAGCTCTTAAGCCAAAATATATATATATATAAATTATTTGCAACAACAATTATCTATATATTTTTTGACTTAGTATTCAAATTCTAAAAACAGAAAAAGGAGCCTGATATTTTGTATCCATACAGTTTGCACCCATAATTGGAAAATTTAAGGCAATACTGCTAAACCCAATAAAATGATGGCTGAAGTATCAATCTTGAATTTTGGGTTCTTTTGACTTTATTTCAGTGCAATGGAGGTTTTGTTGAAGTCCATTTTGTTTTTGGTTGTGAAATGACTAAATCAGTTTGTGGGTTAGGATGGTACTCTTCATTGTTGTCTATAATATTACGCTTTTTGGTATGATTAATATAGGAAACATTAGTCATTACATATGCATATTAGGTGTATGTCCAATCAGATGTGTCAAACACACATTCAATATTATACCTAGGTGTCATGTGTTCGACTTGAATGCTTCATACATTTAGAAGAGTCCAAGTATCAGAGGTTAAGACTAACTGACAAGGATTTCGACCTAATTTTGAGTTACGTAGATTTTATCATGGTTATATTATAAACTGATAGCAATGACAACGATGAAAATAGTAACAAGAGCAGTAACATCATTTGCCGATTTTACAGAGAGCAGTTTCAAATGTTGCAAAAGATATGGTCGATGAAGCAATTGCAGAGAAGCTTGACGTAAAAAGCCTCACTTCTAATTCAAACACTTTGCGCATAGCAGATTTGGGATGTTCAGTTGGGCCAAATACCTTCATTACCATGCAAAGTGTGCTTGAGGCCGTGGAAAAGAAGTATCTTTCCCATGGCCTTGCCTCTAAAGTGCCGGAATTCCAAGTTTTCTTCAACGATCATGGTACCAATGATTTCAATACCCTATTTGCCTCCCTCCCTCATGATAGGAAATACTTTGCTGCTGGAGTGCCAGGTTCTTTCTATGGCCGGTTATTCCCCGAGTTCTTTCTCCATTTTGTGCATTCCTCCTTTGCACTCCAATGGCTCTCTAAGCTGCCTGAAGAGTTGCTTGACAAAAACTCACAAGCATGGAACAATAAAAGAATCCACTACACAAGTGCCTCAGAGAAAGTAGTTAATGCTTACGCAACTCAATTTACAAAAGACATGAAGATGTTTCTGAATGCCAGAGCTAAAGAGATTGTTGCTGGAGGGATGATGGTACTGCTTGTGCCTGGTTGTCCGGATGATATTCATCATTCTCAGCTCTCAACAGCTCTGTTGTTTGATTTCCTTGGGTCTAAACTCATGGATATGGTGAATGAGGTAAGTCAATGATGGGCTTTTCAAATTGAAGTACGAAATAATAAAATCAACCAGTTGTAATCCATTAATGCATTCCTTTAATATAGGGATTAGTCAGTGAAGCTCAAGTGGATTCATTTAACTTGCCTGTGTACTTTCCTTCCCCAATGGAGATGGCAAGGCTTGTAGAAGAAAATGGGTGTTTCGATATTGAGATAATGGAGTTGCTGGATCCCAGGTCAAATATGAACTACGCAATTGATGTGCATGCATTAATAATGCACCTAAGAGCTGGCCTGGAAGGAATTTTCACCAAACATTTTGGAAGTGAGATTGTTGGTGAAATGTTTGAAAGGACTTCTCAAGAAAGTGCAGAGCTTTCCTGCCTTCTGGACAAAAGCAACAAGAGAAACAAACTATTTGTTGTTTTGAAGCATAGATGATGTGTGTTGGAGATGGTTTTGGCTTCATTATATGGGTAATTTACATGTCCCCTCATCATATGGGTAATTTACATGTCTTTCCTATCTTTTCTATTTGAAACCTTGACCTTGAGTCTATTTGTCGTTTTGAAGCATAGATGATGTGTTTTGGATATGGTTTTGGCTTCGTCATATGGGTAATTTACATGTCTCCTCATCATATGGGTAATTTACATGTCTTTCCTATCTTTTCTATTTGAAACCTTGACCTTGAGTTTCGGATTTTAGACCCAAATCCACTAAGATAAAGATAGACTGGTACTTTCTTCTTCTTCTTCAATTTTTTTTTTTTTTTTTTTTTTTTTCATTGTACTTGGAGAAGTAATGTATTGTTGCCTTGATAAAATAGGTTTATTTGTTGTCAACAATTATTAAAAAAGAAGTGCAGAAGTTGGTAGATTTTGAATCTGACCCTCACAAGAAGATATGTCCTTCCTGATCTAGTCTATAATTGCCCAAAGGCTTTGTTATGCTGACTAATGAATTGAATATATTGTGATGCGATTTGCCACAAACTCGGGCAGCCATGTACTTGTTTAGTAACAATCATTACCAAGGTAAATCATATTTGCTTTCTCAACAGTTACATCCATCAACAACAGTGCCTTCTGGGCATCATAATTGATATTCCGGGGTATATTCATCAATTCCATGCTTTCCTTGCACTTGGGATAGACCTTATGGGCCTTAGAGATTACTTTGGGCTAGGAAAAACAATGTACTAAAGATCGAGCTTTGTTTTTTTGTTTTTTGTTTTGCAATTTTAATTTGGTCATGGTTACTATTCATTCATTTTTTTTCTACAATCGAACTGACTACTCCGAGACATTCCGAGGTCATTTGGGTGTATTTGGACAACGTATATTCAATTTATACCTTGGGAAACCTTTTTGAGAGCCTACTTTCAGTCCTTGGGCAGAATGTGCAGTTACTGTTCATATGCTAGACAAAATTTTCACCCTAACTTCCAATAGTCATATCTCCCTTATTCCAGATCCAAATTAGGTCATTCTTAAGTCTACGTTCAAGGATTTTGAGTTATATTTCCAATGGTATCAATCTCGTTTTCAGATTTTATTGATACTGAGAGATATTCTCATTTTAGTGGGACAGTGTTGGGAAATCCCTTGACCGAGAAAGGGTATTTTTGAGAAATCATGACTAAAGGTCTCAGAATCTCTTGGGATGTTATGAATTGATTAGATTGGATTGACTACACTTCATTTGACTTGTTTTGAGTCAAATTTCTCCACCATTGGGTAAAATGACTATTTTACCTCTAGTTCTATATTTGTCCGTTTGGATCTTAACTTCCGCTTTTGTGTTCAAGTTTTGTCTTGAGACTTCTTATGAGGCTCTTTTGTCTTCCTAGAAGCGATATTTACCTCTAATGACCTCTTCTTTGTTTTTGCTTCTGCATTTCGGACTCGATATCAGGTCGGGTTAAGGGTTACTCGCTAACGCTACAGGTTCTTGAAATTCAAGCCGTTACAACCAGTGAGTAGGCAAGTCTTGTAATGACCCGGTCATTTCCCTTTCTTTCTTTTTTTCGGTAAATTTCATTTTTTCGTCTTTTTCCCTATTTCGTTCTTTTCTCGTTTATCACTTTTCCTTGCATAACTTCACTTTTTGTGCTCGAATTTAATTCCGGCTTTACATACATCCATGATATTTAATTTCTATGATATATATATTTTTACTTTCATAAAAAAGCATATTAAATGTTTACTTTTCTTGTAAAGGGTATAGATGCATGATTTTTGGTAATTTTCTTAAACTTGAGGGGTTTTCATGTAATTATGAAAAATAATTATTTTTCATCTTAGGGACCTTTTTGCAATTAAATTTGTAAGATATTTTGAAAAAAGACCTTTTTGTAATTTTTGAAAAATGTGACAAGTGTCACATTCTCATGGTGCCACTTGTTGGTATTGGGGTGGAGTGACTTGGAAGCATGATCTCTTAACACATGGAGGATGGAGATTCACCCATTTGTTTCCCTAGGATAGAAACACTTGTTGGCATGGATGGTTGACAAGTGTAGGTGTGAGATTAAGCCTAGGAAAGAGCCGTTGATTTGTGACAAGTGTAGGCACCAAAATAAGTCTTGCATTGTGTGTGTGAGAAAGGTAGTGTAAGAACACATAGTGGGTGGAGGATTTCTAGACCTTCCACTCACCATTTTACACTTTATCTTTTTCATTTCATTGTTTTTCATAACCCTAAACCTAGCCACCATTGGAGAAAAGCTTGGTTGATATGTTCTTCTTCATTTTGGCCTCCTTCCACTCACCTTAGATTAAAAACCTTGGGAGACAAAAGTTTCCTCTTGCTCTCCTCTTCAAAACCCTTGTTTTGTTTTCCTATTTTAAGCTTGGTTGCTTGGATTATAGAGATTCAATTCCCTAGTGAGGTAGAAGTGGTTGTATGTTTATCCTTTTTGGGTTTTATATATATTGGAGCTTTATATATATTGATTACATGCCTTTTAAATTCTTATACTTGCATGTAAATAGAAATTTTGTATGCTTGACTTAGGATTTGTAGATTAAAGCATGTATATGACTATTAAATTGCATAAGTAGGTTATTGTTTAATGATTTGCCTATTACTTGTGATTTCATTGAGGGTTTGTTATGAATATCTTGAAATTGCACTTATTTTGTTAAATAATGGAAATCTCATTGAAAGTCTAGTATGAAAATCTTATATGTAGCACTTGTAATTACTTGTAAGTAAATCACCATATTACATGGTTAGTGATTGTGGCCTACATTAATATTAAATTCATATAGCACAATGTGTAGTATCATTAGCTTACCACTTTAGACATGCAACCTTAGGGCATGGTTTGTGTGGTTTTACCCTACTTGTGCTTGGTAGGTAGTTTCATGCATTGAGGTTATAGAAATGTCATGAACTTATTGATTTTTGGAAGCTTGTAAGGATATGAAATGTTGATAGCTAGGGTTTGGCTCTAATATGGAGGATTAGAATTCTCCTAAGTCATAGCACGCACTAAGTTGTATCTTGTGGGTCGTAATTATCCGAAATAACTTGTATAGTCTCGTGGCCACATATCCTAGTCTTTCCAATATTTGATTTCGCATTATTTTTTTATTTTTTATTTTCTCTCCAAGTTGTAAATCATGGATTTCTTGTAGCTTGTGATTTGGTGATTTTAATTTCAATACAGTTAGTGTACTTGTTCATGTATACTTGGATGCAATGTGACTATCATTTCAAATATTTGTATAGCTTGAGATGATCCCTTAGAGTGCCTTGAAAACATAGACGTTAGGTGGAATGCACCCTTGTGATGATCTATGTTTGGTTCGCATTATACTTGAAACTATAGGGTATGCGCATGCACCACATCCTACGAGTAACTTGATTACTCACCCTAGTTGTTTGGGTAATTTTGCAAGTAAAAAAACTTTGTTTTGGGATGCATCACATCCCTAAGTTGCTTTGATGCCTTGGTGTATTTTTATTATATTAGAATATGCACTTGTTAGCATATCCTACTCCATTTTGGTTTATTTTGACAAAACATGTATTTGTTGTTCAAATCATGTAATGTGCACTTAAGTGCACATTTTGTTACTCTTAGAATGTGTTTGTAATGAGGCCAAGGGCTAAAGACACTTAAGTGATATGTATGCTAATTTTAACTTTATTGTTGCCCACGAAAAATATGTGATTTAATGCATTGAAGGGTCATACTTTGCATATCACATGCCATGAGGCCTTAGACCATTGTAGTACATCCATTTTATCATATTACATATACTTGCATGCTCACTTTGGCAAACAATACCCTTCTTGATGAAACAAAAACTTATAGTTACATTATGTCGAGTTTTTATCCTCTTCTGTTCCAGGGGCATTTTGGTATTTCACAATGTGTTTTTTTTTTTTCATTTATGCCCGCATAACCAAGTAGAAAACTCGATTTTGGGGGGGTAGGGGGGGTTTCTTTTTTGTGTTTTTCCAGAAAATGTCATCTTGGCCCTCAAAATTTCAATTTTTGCCGAAAAACCCTTGCTGCTAGTTTTCTTTGCTGAACCTACTGGTTTTGCTTTCTAACCAGTTAGAAGGGGTCTCATAACCGGTTAGATGAGTGTGGGCAATATTGTGGTCTTCATTTTTAGCCTCCTAACCGGATAGGAAGCCTTGGTAACCGGTTAGATGACCTAGGGTTGACTATTTTGACCGTTTTACTTTTGTTTCTTCTGTTAGCCATATCTTTTTCATCCGGACTCCGAATCAAGTGATTCTTGAGTCTAAAGTCATTAATTTTTAGTTGTCTTTCCAATGGTGTGCTCGGTAGTACCCACTTTTACCTTGGAAATGACCATTTTTCCCCTACGTTCCTTTGTGTCCATTTTTTTAAGCGTCACTCCTGCAATTGCTTTCCTTTGGGTTCCGTGACTCATTGAGGGTCACATTAGTGTGTTAGAGATGCATTGTATCTCTAGAGACCATTGTTTTACCTTTTTCTTCCGTATTTTGGATCCGTTATCGGGTTGTCTTTTGGACATCACTGAGGCACCGGGCTTACAAAACTTGGGCCGTCACAAGTGGTATCAGAGCTCCTAGGTTCGAAAACCTTAGGACGGGTTTTGGGTGCATATAATGTTTTCATTGACTTGCTTTGATATGTGTACATTCCTCTTGATGACTTGTTTTGATTTGATAACATTTTTACATGCTTATGTGTTAGCTTGTTTAAGAATGTTCCTTAACCGTTTTAGTATATTGTATATGCTTGTTTACCTTAGCATTTTGTATATGCTTGTTGGGTGTTAGCATGTTGTATATGCTTGTATATTTTGCATGACTGTATGTTGGATACATTTATTGCTTGTATTATGTGCTACTTGCCTTGTGTATTCATGGCGTGAGTTGTATTAGGTCTTAACGACTTGCATAGTTGTTGACCTTGTCCCTATTGTGTG